CTAATCTTTATAGGCGCATAACTCAAAAACTACGGTAGATAGAAAAAAGTTGTCAACTATAAAAATGAAGTTCTATTTTGGTTTCATAATGTTAAACTCACGCATTTTGGCAAAATGGCCCATTTTGTCTCATGAAGATTATTGAATGGGACCACTTTCAAATCCTCGAAAATTGGAAGCTTATCGCAAATCGCCGCTTTTGAGACCCATTCGACGTTGAGCTGGAAATTTTTGAGGTTCCTATGAGAGATATCAAAAAGTTGTCAACTAACAAAATATTTGTCATAATATCACCTATATTTCATCAGTTGACAGCTTCTAAATATCTCATCTAGGAACCGAGATAATTGAGCTCAAACTTGACCTACCTCCTTAGCTCTTCCCTTCCACTGATTGACAATTGGGGTGATACAATCGGAAAATTGTTTTTTCACACTTTCCATCAAATTCACAACGTCTTGTTGGACAGAAGTAGATGATAAATCTCCACACGATGGAAGTTGGTTGAGTTGATGATATCGAGGGTCCAATTGGAGTTGGGTGCTCTGAAGTGGGACTTTTGGGGTATAAAATTTTTGAAAGCGCTTATCTCAAAAACTAGAAAAGCAGGACAATTTGTGCTAATTAATTAAATGTTTAAAATAAAATTTTACATATTTTTGCAGTTAACAACTGTTTCCTAGCTAGCTTAGTTTTGGAGATATGCGCCTTTAATGTGGGCGTGCCTTTTCGCTCGGAGCTTGAAGGGGGGAGGGAGGCACGCCAACTTTAAAAGCGCATATCTCAAAAACTACTGTAGCTAGAAAAAAGTTGTCAACTACAAAAAAGAAGCTCTAGTTTTATTTTTTTTTTAATCTAAAATTTTCAGAAAGTTTGAACAAGTTTCAGGGACTATTTTAGACATCTAAAGTTAACAACAAAGTAGCCGATTCGCGAACTTCACCAAATCTTAAAAACAGTAGAAAAATCAAGTTTTTAGCTGCTTTAGAACTCGATGTATAGCGGTTTAAAGTATAGGAAGCTAGAGACAAAGACAACGAGGCACTCTAACTCTCTGCGTCTCTCCGAAGTTCGAGCCGCTGCCCCCCCCCCTTGCAACTAAGTGCGTTAACTTTAAAGGCGCATATCTCAAAAACTACGATAGGCACAAAACAGTTTTCAACTACAGAATTGAAGCTCTATTATAACACAGTTCTTACCTCCTCCTCAAATTGGTATCCCTTTCCATCCATAGTGTCCCATACTCCATCGGAACCAACGTCATTATTTCTTGGTGCTCTGCTGGACCGGAATCCTTGAGGAACGCCTACATTTACGTAGTATAAGGTGAGGCCGAGTACAGCTAGCATAAGAATCGGAAGATATCGTTTCATGGTACTTCTTCCAATAGAATTAGAGGAATTGGGATGGTCCAGAAGCTTCTCGTAGCGCATTTTGGGGGTAATAGACGTCTAGAGAAGGTTCTAGAAGGTTCTTGAAGGAATGTGATCGATCATTGAAACCCTGTGTGAAGCTTTATATAGCACTATAGCCTGGATTCGATTCGCATCTCGAGACACAGGAAAAACGCTGAAACTGAAAAAAAAATTTTTTCAAACCTAAAACGGAACAAATGGACCCGTATCTGGCCTATTCATCGCTCTCCGATCCGTCACGAAAAATCTCGGAACAAATTCTTTGAATTTGAAAAAAAGAATGAAGATCAGATAGAACGCTTTTGTGGGGTTTGGAGAAACAAGAATTTTCAGAAATTTGTTTTTGAAGTTTTAATATTAAAGATGGAACCTGGAATTTTTGTTTTCCTGAGTTGAAAGTTTTCTTTTCGAATTTAGTTCTTTGAGAGCTTCAAAATGAGTATAATCATGACCTACTTTCCTTAAATCGATTTTTGAACATTTTGGACCCGTATGCGCCTTTAAAATGGTTAATTTTGAAATTCAAAGCAAAATAGTTGTGTTTATAGTCAATTTGAAGCCTGTAACACGCAAAATTCAAATCTGAGAAGAAAAACGAGTTTTGGCCAAAACTGACAAAGTTATGCTATCCTCTCTGAATTAAGTCCGAGCAGCCTAAAACTCAAAATCAACCATAACTCCGCCAATTTTTGTTTAAAATGTTTTAAATTAGAGCATTTAAATTTGAATTTTTGAGAGCTTCAAAATGAGTACAATCATCATCTACTTTCATTGAATTCGATTTTTGGACCCCCTATGCGCCTTTAAACGGTCAATTTTAAATTCGAAGGAACATAGTCATGATTATACTCTTTTTGAAGCTCTCAAAGCACTGATGAAGAAAATTAAAGTTTCATCAAAAAATCTCGAAAAATGCACAAGTAATGATCGAAACAATACTTGGTTGGAAACTAGTGACAACCTGAAATTTTTAAAATCACAAAACTTAGGTTTATGACTCTTTTTCAATGATGAAACTTTAATTTTTCTCTTCAGCGCGTAAGAAACTTGAAAACGAGTATAAACACGACCATGTTCCTTTGAATTTGAATATTGACCCTTTAAAGACGCATAGGGGGTCCAAAAATGTCCAAAAATCAAATTTAAAGAAAGTAGGTCATGATTATACTCGTTTTGAAACTCTAAAAGCGACAATTTCAAAAACGGTAGTTTCAAAAACTTTAAACAAAATTCGAATGAGTTATGGTTGCTTTTCAGTTGTAGGATGTTTGGACTAGGTTCAGAAAATTCATCGTAACTCGGACAATTTTTGCCAAACTTTTTTATTTATTTCCAGATTCGAACTTTGAGTTTTACAAGTTTCAAAATAAGTGTAAATAAGACTATATTCCTTTGAATTTGAAAATTTGACCATTAAAGGCACATAGGGGGTTCAAAAGTGTCCAAAAATCGAAATTAAGGAAAATGGGTCATGATTATATTTATTTTGAAGCTCTTAACGCGCTGAAATCAAAAATTAAAGTTTTATCGAGAAATCTTAAGAAGCGCGCAAGTTTTTATTGAAACTAGGTCGGCTGCCGAGCCATGGAAGGAAGATCCAACTCCTGCGTTTCAGACTTCAACCTGCAAGACCTGGAAAAATCCCAATCCTTCAGAATCCAACTTCATAGTGTCACATCAGGTGTGAATGACCACAAAATATTACGCAACCTCATCCCTCTCCCGATGCATCCATCCGAGAGACATCCGCGCTTCTTCTCCTCAACACCTAGCACCTCCTATAAATCCTCAATTCCCATACTATGTAAAACGACGCGGACGGTACAAAGGCTAGCACCAGGGATATAACCAGGCGGTCGGTCCGGCCGCTCATATGTCCTCGTTACGCCACCAATTGGTGAGGTGGAAGAAGAAGAAGAAAAAGAAAAATAGGAAGAAGAAGAAAGAAGAAGAAGAGGATGACCTATTTCGCGCTTACGTCCCTTCTCCCGGCCGCGCGCGCGCAACATCCATACCTCTGTGTTTGTCTCTCTGTATTGAACCCATTTTCTAGAAGCTTCCATTTTGTATGTGGTAATCGGTTTTGTATGTAGTTTAGGCTTTCTGGATTTCTAGAAATTATTTATAGAATCTCAACAGCTTTAAAGGCGCATAGCTCAAAAACTACGGTAGCTGGTTAAAATTGTCAACTTTGAAAATATGTGAAATTTTATTTTGACTATTTTTGAAGTTATCGAAAATTGTCTAGCTTTTTCAGTTTTAAAGATATGCGCCTTTAAAGATTGGACATCCAAAAATAGGCACTGGGAAAAAAACAATTGTTATGGATTTTTCGGCAATTAAACCATTTTAGATTCTCCAAAAAATGGTTTAAGACTATCTGAAAAATATCAGAAAGATCACACAAACTTACTTTTTTCGCAGCTACAGCCCTTTTTCAGATTCAAAAAAGCATACTCTACTTCCACTTTCTGGGTATTAAATCTTTAAAGGCGCATATCTCTAGAGCTAAAAGAGCTAGACAATTTTTGTTAACTTATAAAATGTTTAAAATGAAATTTTACATATTTTTGAAGTTGATTACTTTTTTCTAGCTACCGTAGTTTTTGAGATATGCGCCTTTAAAGCTCTTTGCTCGACGCTCAAAGAGAGGGGGTGGCGCGCCACCTTTAAAGGAGCATCTCTACAAAGGTACTGTAGCTAGAAAAAAGTTGTATACTACAAAAAATGCAGCATTTCAATTCAAACAATATCATTAATTAACAAAAATTGTCTAGCTTTCTTAAATTTGAAGATATGCACCTTTAAAATTGGCGCGCCTCCCCCCCTCTTCAAGCGTCGAGCAGAGAGAGAGAGAGAGAGAGAGGCGCTAACGTTAAAGTCGCATATCTCAAAAACTGAAAAAGCTAGAAAGAAACTGTCAATTACAAAAACATGTAAAATGTTATTTTAAATATTTTATTAATTAACAAAAGTTGTCTTGCTTTTTTATTTTTGGAAATATGCGGCTTTTAGTATTGGATATCCAAAAATGGTCACTCTAAAAATCCCCTCTATAAATCTGAAAATGTTGCTTTTCAAAATTCTTATTTTACTAGGTTTCTTACCGAGATTTTTGTGCTTTTATGATCTTCAAAAGATCATCATCCTCTTCTTTTCCAAAGTCTTCTAAAAGTCCAATCCTTCGTTAATCTCTGAAGACCCCCAGACCCTTTCAAAAATCATCCCCCAAAACAAGTTTCTCAATTTCTCTAACCACTCTCTCATATTTCAATACTATTTCTACGCGACGACTACTCGGAATAATAATGATAATAACAATAACAACAATACCCCCCGACCAGACGGTATTTCGTATTCTCCTCTTTTTCTGTTGTGACCTCCAAAATTCTTTTCTGACTGCGTCTCTATTTCGGAATACTTCCGAAAAAGTTTTCATGTTTCGAAATTTCATCTGAATTCTAAAATTCCCAATTCCAGATGACGTCCCAACAGGACGACGATGACGTGGAAGAGTGGAGAGTCCTGTATCAGGAGACATTCGGCTATCGACATCCACTCTTTCATCCCGAACACGCGGTTTTTCAATTTCAGCCAGATCCCAAATTCACTGGTCATAATAGGAATCGAAGGGAAAATAATGAAAAAGATGAGAAAGAAGAGGATGATGATGAAGAAGAATGGAATCCATGGAAAGAATCGTATGAACAATTGAGTCGAGGTGTTCATGTGATGAATAGCATGGAACAGTTCGTTGGTGCAGCTGACATACAGTGCTTTGATCATATTGATGAGGCGTTGAGGTGAGTGATTTACGAAAAATAAATATTTGTCTATAAAACAAAACTAGAGCTTCATTTTTGTAGTTGACAACTTTTTCCTAGCTACCGTAGTTTTTGAGATATGCGCCTTGGAAGTTGGGATGCTTATGTGGCTGCCGGCAGAGGCAATGTCAACTTTAAAGGCGCATATCCCCAAAACTAAAACAGCTAGACAATTTTTGAAAACTAAAAAACGTTTAGAATAAAATTCTACATATATTTGTAGCTAGCAACATTTTTTTTTAGCTACGGTAGTTTTTGAGCAATGCGCCTTTAAAGTTGGCGCGCCTCCCCCTCTCTTTGAGCGTAGAGCAAAGAGAGGTGCCAACTTTAAAGACGCACATCTTCAAAACTACATTAGCTAGGAAAAAGTTATTAACTGAAAAAATTTTTAAAATAAAATTTTAAATAGTTTATTAGTTAACAAAATTCACCTAGCTACAGTATTTTTTGAGATATGCACCTTTACAGGTGGGGGGACAGGAGCTTTTTCGTATTTTTTTGTAGCTAGAGTATGCATTCTACCGTCACGGTGTACAACACTTAATGTCACTCTGCGTACAGCTGTCGTCCTCGCCTTTATGTATGCAATCGGGCGTGCGCTTTTTCTTTGCCCGTGTGGCTCAGTCGGTAGCGGCGCCGCACCCTCAATCATCGCCCCCATAAGTTCAACTCATCGAGGGGCATCTTTGAACGGAATTTCGACAACATTATTTTTTTCATGTCCCCAAGAGCCTCTTGGTAAGAGGATGCGCCAACTTCAAAGATGCGTATCTCAAAAACTACGGTAGTTAAAAAAGTTGTCTACTACAAAATGTGTAAAATTTTATTTTAAATATTTTGATAGTTAACAAAAGTTGTCTAGCGTTTTTGGTTTTTGAGCTATGCGCCTTTAAAGTTGACGCTCCTCCCCTCTCTTTGAGCGCCAAGCAAAGAGAGGCGCTAACTTGAAAGATCTACATCTCAAAAACTACGGTTGTTTGAAAAATAGCCAATTGCAAAATTTTTCCAGATTCCTCGACGAGAATCCCGAAGGGCACCACGAAAAACTAATTTTCCTCCATGAAGGCACCCACGAGGTCAACCACACCATCCGAATAGCATCAGATGTACAGATCCTAGGAGCCTCCTCTTCAGAAGACATCGCATCTACAGTAATCCTCACTGGCCGCCATGCAACTGTTCTAGAATTTCAAGAAGGATCAAATTGTCCCTATTTGGGTTATGTGACAGTAAAATATGAGGTGGATACGGAGCACGAGGCTCAAGTGGCACAGCAGTTGATAATGGAGGTTGATGAAGGGGCGGAGCCTCCGACAGATGAGCCAAAAGCAGGACCTCTTCTGGATGATGATGAGGATGATGATCTGGAAAAAGTGAATGGAATTGAAACGGATCCAACCACAAATTGTGCAATGATTGTGACAGGAGCGGGGGTGGAGCCAACAATTGAACGCTGTAATTTTCAATCAGGAAATGCAGACAGTCATACTGTAGTTGTAAAGGATCATGCGTCTCCGAAGGTTTGTGTTAAAGTTCTTCTCCTAGTCAACTTTAAAAGTTCAGATCCGAAATTCGACATTTATTGGAGGCTCTGGTGGTGGTATCATCATCACCCATCAGGCTACAGGATACTATGATTCTTGTGAATTCGCACAAAATTTGCAGTCTGGAATTCGGGTGCAGTTTCAAGCCAATCCATACTTTATCAATTGTAGAATACATCATCAGGGTGATGTTGGAGTGTTTATTTTGGAGTGAGTTTCCCTTTTTTTTAAATTTGAAAAATACTATCAACTTTAAGCTACTATATCTCGTTTCCTATTAAAGCTATCAAAAAGTGGCTGACTGATAAAATGTTGTTGATATTGTGATAAATATTTTATCAGTTGACCACTTTTTGATATCTCTTACAGAAAACGAGATATAGGAGTACAAAGTTAAAAAGTCGACAGCCGACCGCGTAGCTCGTGGCGAAATATATTCAGGAGTTATAACTAGTTTCGAAAAAACAAAGGATTACTGTAGTCAGCTTGATCCAGTCAAACTACCGTATCTCGAGTTACAGAATAACTTTAAAAGTTTATATCTCAAGAATCAGTGCATATATGCAAAAAATGCTCATTAGAAAAAAAGAGCATCAAATTTGAGCATCAAATTTCACACTATTTATCAGTTTATCTATGTTTTAAAACTCAAGTTGTTCAATAATTATAGCTACCGTAAATGCCTAACCACTCCTAGCTTTTAACTTTGAGCCAATTTATCTCTGTTTCTTTCAAAGATATCAAAAAGTTGTCAACTGATAAATTGTTTATCATAACATCACCAATATTTTATCAGTGCACAAATTTTTGATATCTTTTCTAGGAAGCGAGATAAACTAGCGCAAACTTAACAATGAAAATTTTCAGCGACGGTTTGGGACATTTCCAAAACTGCGAAATCTTTTCCAACTCAAAATTTGGCATTGAACTGAAATCTCCCCAAACGAACCCAACAATAACAGAATGTGAAATTCATCATGGCGGCTCTGGCGGCATTTGTATACACGAAGAAGCCACCGGGCAATTTCTAAAAAATCGGATCCATCACAACGAGTTCCTAGCCGTTTGGATATCGGAAGGCGCAAATCCCATAGTTCGGAGTAATGAGATTTTCGATGGTAGTCATGGTGGCATTTTTGTACATCGATATGGAAAGGGATTGATAGAGGACAATGATATTCGAGGGAATGAGTTGGCTGGAATATTTGTGGATACAGGGGCGGAGCCATGGATTCGAAATAATCATATTCATACAGGGAAACAGGTGAGATTGCTCGTAAATGTCTTACTTCTCGACTAAGTCAATTTTTGACAGCGAATTCGTAATAAGCTCAACGAAAGCTTCGAAATGAGCTTAAACACGGCTATGCTCCTTTGAATTTGAAAATTGACCCTTTAAAGGCGCATATCCAAAAAAATGAATTCAAGGAATGTGGGTCATGATTATACTCATTTTGAAGCCCTCAAAGAGTTAAATTTAGCTATCGAAAAATATATTGAACATTTTGAAAACCTTCGAAGTTACAAACTGAACAAGAATAAGGGGAAAGTATGATAAATCAACATTTTTCCTCATAACTTTCTCATTTTCGAACGGTTTTCACATTACGAAAGTCACATTTTCCATTCAGCACGTTGAAAGCTTCAAAATGAGTATAATCATGACCTACATTCCTTAGTTTCGAATTTTGGACTCCCTATGCGCCTTGAAACTCAAAAATCAAAATGGGCAAAGTCCAAGCATTTTTATGCTAAATCCGATTTTAGTATTGTATTTTCTTTTGAATCAATGTATTTCTGGGTAATGACATTCTTCAGGCCGGCGTCTACTTCTACGATGGTGGCTCCGGAGTTCTGGAATCAAACGAGATAAATGGAAATACGCTAACAGGAGTTCAAATTAGAACAGGAGCCAATCCTCGAGTGGTCAAGAATCGGATATGGAATAATGATAATGGAGTGTTGATCCATGAAGCAGGCATGGGATCCTTGGAAGAGAATACAGTATTTGACAACTCGATGACAAATGTTTTTATTAAAACCGAAGCGACGCCTATTGTAAGAAGAAATAAGATATTTGGATCTCGTGGAACTGGAATCTCAGTGACTGATGGTGGAAAGGGCACTATTGAGGAGAATGAGATCTTTGATAACGCCCAATCAGGGGTTCTGGTGTTATCTGAAGCGGCACCGGTGATTCGTTTGAATCGGGTTCATGGAAATCAATCGGCTGGGATAGAAGTGTCGTCAAAGGGGGATTGTGTGGTTAGGGAGAATCGAGTGTTCAGGAATCGATTTGGAGGTTGGTGAAAATTTTCAAAACTTTTGAAATTCAGCTAATCCTTGAGTATACTAAACAAAACTAGAGCTTTATTTTTGTAGTTGAGAGTTTTTTCTTAGCTACCGTAGTTTTTGAGGTATGCACCTTTAAAGTTAGCGCGTCTCTCTTCTCGGCGCTGGAAGAGAGGGGGAGGAGCGCCAACTTCAAAGACGCATAATATGTCTATATATTATCTCTAAAACTAAGAATGCTAGACAATTTTTATAAACTATTAAAATGTTCAAAATGAAGTTTCACATATTTTTGTAGTTGACAAACATTTTCTAGCTACCGTATTTTTCGAGGTATGCGCCTTTAAAGTTAACGCCTCTTCACCTCTCTTTGAGCGTCGAGAAAAGAAAGGCGTTAACTTTGAACGCTCATTTCTCAAACGCTAAAAAAGCTAGACAACTTTTGTTAACTGATAAAATGTTTAGAATGAAATTTCACACTTCTTTGTAGTTAAAAAGTTTTTCTAAATACCGCAGTTTTTGAGATATGCGCCTTTAAAGTTGGCGCGCCTCCCCTTTCTCTTTGACCGTCGAGCAACGATAGACGCCCTCTTTAAAGGCGCATATCTCAAAAACTATGCTAGCTAGCGAAACATTGTCAACTATAAAAATGAAGCTCTAGTCCTGTTTAGTATACACAAAATATTGTCAATTCTGAAAAACAGGCAATAAAAATTTTTCAGGCGAAATTATAGGTTATCGAATAGTTTTGCATTTTTAGGGGGTAATAAGATTTGAACGATTGCATCATAACTAATTTAAAAGCCAAACCTTAATTTTTCTAGGAATCATGACGGCAAGTGGTTCAACCGTGAAAGACACTCAGAACCAAGTCTACGACAATCTGGACCGCGTCCGAAAAGCCATTGATTCTGGCCACTGTCTATTTTCAGTCAGTGGAAAAGAGTTCTACCCGATGCACAACTTTTATAGGTAATTAAAGTTAACTGAAATTCTTATAATTGAGTTTAACTCTTTGAGAGCTTTAAAATGAGTATAATCATGACCTAGTTTCCTTAAATTCAATTTTATGCTCCTTTGAAAGGATCCTGTGCGCCTTTGAAGGGGGCAATTTTTGAAATTCAAAGGAACCTATGTCGTGTTTATACTCATTTTAAAGGTCTTAACAAGCTGAATTTAAAAATTTAGGTTTTTTGGGAAAATATCAAAAGATACAAAAGTTGTGAACAAAACAAGTATAATTGCAGATGCATCACCTGCAACTCCTCAGAACGAAATGCAATATGTCAGAGTTGCATTGAACGGTGTCATAAGGGGCATACAGTAATGTTTTTAAGATGTGATAGGTAATTTTTGAGAAGTAAGAATCCAAAAAAAAAAATTTGAAAGTTTCAGATTCTACTGCGATTGCGGTGCTGATCATTTGGAACGTTCCTGCTGTCTTCGGCAGACCTAATTTTTCAATTTTTTGCATTTTTTAAAGTCTTTCAAAATGTTAGTCATTGGTTATAGAAAAAAAAAACTTCCTCAGATTACGAACACTTTACGGTACCCCTTCATTTGGTCTTTCATTGATTTTCAATTGATAAATCACTAATAATTATAATAAAAGGATTTTTCGTTCGGAATGTTGGTTCTGAAAATATTCTGAAATCTCTACGTAATAGAAGCCCATCCTATGCATATTCTTTGAGCTCAATTATCTCGGTTACTGTAAAAGATATCAAAAATATATCAACTGATAAAATGTTTATCAAGTTATCAGCAATATTTTATTAGTTGACAGATTTTTAATATCTTTTACAGAAACCGAGATATTTGAGCTCGTAGTTGACAGTTATGAGGGTCTTGTTAATGGCGCAATGCTTTTTGGGTATCAAAACTTTAAAGGCGCATAGCTCAAAAACTAAGAAGGCTAGACAACTTTTGTTAACTAATATAATGTTAATAATGCAATTTATATATTTTTGTTTCTAATAACTTTTTTCTAACTACTGTAGTTTTGAAGATATGCGCCTTTTAATTTAGCGCTTCATTTTGCTCGATGCTCAAAGAGAGGGGGAGGAGCGTCAACGTTGAAGGCGCATATCTCAAAAACTAAAAAAGCTAGATAATGTTTGTCAACTGAAAAATGTTCAAAATAAAATTTTACATATTTTTGTTTTAATAGCTTTTTTTCTAGCTACTGTAGTTTTTGAGTTATGCGTTTTTAAAGTTGGCGCCCACATTCGGGCGCCTGCCGACAGCTGGTGCTCCAACTTTAGAGGCGCATATCTCAAAAACTACGGTAGCTAGGAAAAAACTGTCAACTACAAAAATGAAGATCTAGTTTTGTTCAGTGTACAGAGGAAATTTTATTTTATTCAATTAATCGATAACCAATTAAAAATCGCTAATAGAAAAATAACTTTGAAATCCGTTCTTATTGCGAGTTAGCATCTGGTTTTGAAGATGTGGCCTGGAATTTTCAATTGTATTTTTAGTAATTTGTAACATTTAGAATCTTTACCCAATTTTCCAAAGATTCCTTGTGATTTGGTGATGCTGCTGGGACTGGGGCTTCCTGGGATTTTCTCTCCTGTAACTCAAAAAAACTTTTTTACGAAAAATTTCTAAATTCACCACTTTTGGAGAAGCGACCTCTTTCGTTGGAGTTGGCGGCTTTTTCAGATGGCTTGGGGATCGAGTTTCGCTTTCTTGATTTTTCTGAAATTCAAAATTTTGAATTTTGAGAAAAAAAAATCTTTTTTCAGAATCTCCGAATTTCAGAATTTCAGAGTTTCAAGATTTCTGAATTTCAGAATCTTAGAATTTCAAATTTTAGGAATTTCTGATTTTCAGAATCTCAGATTCACAGAATCTCAAATTCTCAGGATATCAGAATTTCAGAATCTCAGGGTTTCAGAATTTCAGGATACCAGATTTTCAGGTTTTCAGATTAACAGATTCACAGAATCTCAAATTCTAAGAATTTCAAAATTTCGGAATTTCAAATTTTCAGAATCTCAGATTCACAGAATCTCAAATTCTCAGGATATCAGAATTTCAGAATCTCAGGGTTTCAGAATTTCAGGATCCCAGATTTTCAGGTTTTCAGATTAACAGATTCACAGAATCTCAAATTCTAAGAATTTCAAAATTTTGGAATTTCAGATTTTCAGAATCTCAGATTCACAGAATCTCAGAACCACAGAATTTCAGAATTTCAGAATTTCAGAATTTCAGAATTTCAGAATTTCAGAATTTCAAGGTTTCAGAATTTCTCAAATTTGTGATTTAAAATATTTAGCGACCACAGAAAAAGGGGCGGGGCCTAATCCTATTCGAAAAGGAGTGGAGCCTATCATCAAAATTGAAATTTTTTCAAAATTTCAAAGTTTCAAGATTTCTAAAAGTTTCGTTTTTCAGAATCTCAGAAATCAGAAATTCAGATTTTTAGGTTTCCAGAATTTGGGAATCCTCCAAAAATTTACAGTCTCAGTCGATTTTTTCATTCCTGTCAATGATGGCGATGGCGCGTCGTGTGATCCTTTTCTAGGCTGAAATTTGGCTTTTTTCTGAATTTTTGAAAAATTAAGACCTACCGTTTCTCCAGACATCTTCTTCTGATTAGCAGGTGTTTTTTGATTCTCCAAGGATGTCTTGAAGGGACTAGCAGCTGTACGAGCCACTGGAGTAGCTGCTCCTTCGTTGGACAACTTTTTGGGCTGAAATTTTTGGAATTTTCAAAATCAGCATTTTCAGAAACTTTGAATTTCAGCAATCCAGAATTTTCCTAATAACCCACCGTCTCGGATTGTGTTTTCTAATAGTAGGCGTCCGATTGAATGGGCTAACACTTCTGAATTGTTTCGACATTCCGGGACGTCTTTGGCCTGCTGGACCAGCTAGAACCGGGGTTTTCGAACGGAAAATTGCTGGGGATTTTCGATGAATTGACGTCATTCTTGGATTGTCCTCACATTGTTCCTTTGAAGCATTCTGGAGGGAAAAAGCTCAATTATCTCGGTTCCTATGAGAGATATTAAAAAGTGGCCAACTGATAAAATGTTACTGATATTATGATTAAAATTTTGTCAGTTGACCACTTTATGATCTGCCACAGAAAGCGAGATATAGATGCTCAAAGGTAGGAGGTCGGCAGCCGACCCCTCAGTTGGCAAGCGCCGGCTTCCCAACTTTGCGCCAACTTATCTCGGTTGATGTAGAAGATAATAAAAATTTGTCAACTAATAATATATTTATCGTATTATCACCAATACTTTATTAGTGGACTAAATTTTGATATCTTTCAAAAGAACCTAGATAAATCGGCCCGGCAGAGCTGCGCGGCGGCCGCCGACCTCTTCACTTTGAGCTCAATTATCTCGGTTCTTATAAAAGATATTGAAAAGTAATAAACTGATAAAATGTTACTGATACTATGATAAACATTTTGTTAGTTGACCACTTTTTGATATCTTTTATAGAAACCGAGATAATTAAGCTCAAATTTGATGGCTTGGGTGGGCGAGGAAATATGTTAGCTTTTTTTTAAGGCGCATATCTCAAAAACTACGGTAGCTAGAAAAAAATTGTCAATTATAAAAATGAAGCTCTAGTCGTGTTCAATAAACTTTTGTAAACCTGAATAATAGTCTTCTCGATTTTCCGAAACTCCGCAATCTGCCTATCATTCTTCTCCTTCCTCGCCCCATTATCCTCTTTCCATGTGCACCATCCAACGACACCACCCAACAGAAGCTGCTTTTTGGCTGAAAATTTTTCTAGAATTTCCTATAAGAATCTTCTCGAACCTTCTCTCCTGGCTTCTCCTCAACTCCAGAATACATCAACATCACTCTCAGCTTTTCATAACTTCTCTCGTTGTGGAAAATTGCTTCGGGCGCGAAAGTTTGGCACATTTGCGGTGCTAGGAGAATAAAGAGCTTATCTTTTCGGGGTCGGTTATAGAAATGTTGCTTGTCTTCTTCTAGGTATTCGTTGTGTGGACGGTGGTAGACCTGGAAATGGAAATGTGATTCGCCCCTTGCCGGCTGAGCTACGATCTCCTCGGCTGCGATCTCCTAATTTTGAGCACAATTATCTACATTTCTGTAATTGCTATCAAAAAGTTGTTAACTAACAAAATGTGTAAAGTTTTATAAGAAACATTTTGTTAGTTAATTACTTTTTGATACCTCTCACAGAAAATGAGATAAAAAGCTTCAAAGTTGGAGAGCAGTCCCTTGCCGGCTGACCTGCCGACATCTTAACTTTAAGGCCGGTTATCTCATCTCCTATAAAAGGTATCAAAAAGTGGTTCACTAACAACATGTTCCTTATAAAATTTCACACATTTTATCAGTTGACTACTTTTTGACATATTTTACAGCAATCGAGATATATAAGCTTAAATTCGGCATCCTACCTCAATAGTCACAATGTTTGGCATTCGAACTGCCGCATTCACCACTGTCTGACGGGGTGGGATGATTCCGTTCCGACGATCCACAAAATAGGAGTAGTTATCAGTGGTTTCAATTTTGAATGCCACCGGGTAGTCACCATGATTGATAAGTGCCAGGGATCGAGATTCCGAGGGTCTTTCTTGCTAGAAAATCATTTTTTACTTTGAGCCCATTTATCTTGGTTACTGTAAAAGATATCAAAAAGTGGTCAACTGATAGAATATTTATCATATTATAATAAACATTTTATCAGTTAACGACTTTTTGATATCTTTTACAAGAAGCGAGATATATGGGCTTGAAGTCAAGAGGTCGGAGGTCGGCGGCCAGCCGGCAGGGCAAGCGGCGATTTTGAGCCAATTTATCTGGGTTACGGTAAAAGATATCAAAAAATGCTCAACTAACAAAATGTTTCACATAATATCAGCAATTCTTTATCAGTTGACAGATGTTTGATATCTCCTACAGAAAGTGAGATATATGGGCATAAAGTTGGGAAGTAGGCAGCCGACCGCGTAGCTCAGTCGGCAAGCCGCGCGCTTTCAACTTTGAGACCTAATATCTCGGTTCCTGTGAAAGATATCAAAAAGGTGTCAACTGATGAAATGTTCATCATAATATCAGTAGCATTTTACCAGTTAACAATTTTTGATATCTCCTACAGGAAGCGAGATATGAGGGTTTGAAGTTATGAGATCCGCGCTTGTCGGCAGAGCTGCGCGGCGACTGCCGAACTGTTAACTTTCAGCCAATTTATCTCGGTTACTGTAAAAGATATCAGAAATTTGTTAACTGATAAAATGTTTATTATGATATCAGCAACATTTCATCAGTTGACCACTTCTTGATATCTTTCACAGGAAGCGAGATATACGGGCTCTAAAAACTAACTTTTCTCGAAAAAGCCAAATAATTAAAATTGACCGAGACGAGAATTCTTGGCTCAATCAGAGCCAAGTCTGGATTTATGTCTGTCCACAGATATCCGTCGTTGGAAATATAGCAGGGCGTCGATTTCTCCTCCTCACGACTTCTTCGCTTCTTCTGATGAGCTGTCCTCGGCTCGCTGGAGACGTTCTTCTTCGGCTTGGGTGTATTCGCTGACATTTTAAGAAAAATTTGAATTTTGAATCTCGCGCTCTTTGCTGGAACTTCCAGCCTGGAAGATGGAAAAAGAGTGTACTACGTGGAAGACCTGGATTCATTCATAATTTACAGCATAAAAAATAGGAATTAGGTTACAAAATGAATCAAAGACTCGGAACAAAATGAATGGGATGATATTGAACATTGATATTCGTTGATTTCTTATCAGCTGCTCCTCGAATCAGTCCGATATGCTCCAGTTGGCCGGCGGCGGCAAAGAACGCTCCCTTGGCTTCTTTTTTGGGCAATTTGATCTGAAATTTCAAATTTCTGATCCTGTGCAAACACGAAAATCGATTTTAGAGTCTTTTTTCAGCATTTTTCGCATTTTTCGCAGAATTTCAAGTCAATTTGAGCCATTTTTGGCCATTCTTGCTAATTTCAGAATTAAATGTTTTGGATGAATTTTGGAATTATTCTGAGCCAAAATAGGCTCATTTCAGTCAGTTTTGGGCTTTTTCAGCTATTTTTGGACCATTTTTGGGTCGCTTACAGCTATTTGTGACCAAGTTTTTGTCGTTTTCAGCCATTTTTAAACCTATTTTTGTCGTTTTCAGACTTTCTGAATCTTCAAAAACTTCTTCAAAAACAAAAAAAACCCACATTTTTCAAATACGCCTCCGCCCACTCATTCATCGGCACCATTTTGAAGTTCCTATGACATAGCAACGCTCGCCACGCGACGGAAACCGGCTCATCGAGGTGCTTGCTGAGCAACGCCTTCTCGATATCCACGTCATCTGATGAATCCAACGACGTCATCTTGTCTTGCCACGTACCAACTACATTACGCCACGTAGCAGGATATGGGCGTAGAGTGGCTTGGAAGAATGACATAATATGAGTGAAAATGGCGGATTTGGCTGTGGCGACTGGATTCTGCTGTTTGGCGATCATCGCTTGTTCCCGCTGCTTTTTTAGCTCCAAAAATGTCATTTTCGAGTTATTTGAAGTCTTCTGTGTGTCGATTGGTCCGGATGTCGTGTTGTAGGCGTCCTCCAGAGCTTCAAGCAGATCTTCTAGCTTCTTTGAGAACTTTGAATCCCAATTTTTCGTTTTTTGAAGCATCCGCTGGCCGAATTCCACCAAATTCGTCCTGGAATTCACCAAAAACTGTTTTCTCTCCCTGAATATTGGCTCCTCTTCAAGCGATTTCCAGAATTCCGAGTTCCACTGAATCTCCATATGGATTCGGACGAATTCTGATTTAGAATGTTCTCCAAATTCGTCTAGGAACAGACGAAGGACGTCGTCGTACTTCTGAAGCTCTTCTGAATGCGTTTCTTTTCGCCAGAGCGGATCTTCTATGTATTTTTGGAGCAGGGCGAATTGAATAGCACGGATGAGAGCCGAGACAGAGTAGTCGCATGCCAGGAACCGGTTTTTTAGGTATTTCATGAATTCGCCGGAAAATAGAGCCGGCGCACAATCATAGCTCATCAGAAGCTTCGGATCGTCATCTTCGATTTTCTTGGGCTTCTGACGTGGCGGTTCGAAGAACGCATGGATTCCTGTTGAGATAATCTTGATGAACACATCTTCGAGTTGTGTGAACTGGAATTTTTTTTTTTTGAATTTTTCGAACTTTGCGCCTTCTAGAATATTTTTTAGAGAATTTTTTAAAGATGGATCATGATTAGCTTGATAAAAAGATTCTGAAAATCCAACTGTTTTAAAAATCGGTTCAAAACAAAGCGAGTTATGCTCATTTTTCCATTTTCGTGGTGAGACCCAAAATTTTCAATAATTTGTTCTGATTGGCTTAATTAGTAGATTCTAAAAATCCAATTTTTATAAAAATCGGATGAAAACTAAGCGAGTTATGGCTATTTTTCCATGTTCGTGGTGAGACCCAAAAGTTCGAAATTTCAGAGTTTTCAATAATGAAGTATGGCTGGCTTAATTAGTAGATTCTAAGAGTCTAATTTTTATGAAAATCGACCTAAAACTAAGCGAGTTATGATCATTTTCGTGGTGAGACCCAATTTTTTTGAATTTTCAAAAAATTTAAATTTCGCGCCAATCTCCCAGAAGCAGAGTCACACCTTAAATTGCTTCAATTCCAACATATTCATCGTCACAATTTCAGAATTTTGTGTGAAAAAAGCAGGAGATGTGGAGACGCAGATCATCAGACGCAGTCGTGGAATCACCGAGCGACACGTGGCATTCGAGTAGAGCAGAGAGACGAGAGAGTCGAGAAAATGTGGGCGGAGCGATTCGAATTGACGAATGATGATGATTCGAGTCGTGTCAGGAGTCGAGGGCTGGAATTTTTTAGCTTTCGGAATTCCAAAAAATCGATTTCCAGAGCTTTTTTGGCTAAAAAATCCCAAAAAATCGTTTTTTTACCCGAAAATTCGTTAAAAATCGAATTTTAAGACCATTTTTCGCCGAAAAATCCTTTCAGAAATCGAACTTCTAGGGAAGTTTTTAGCTAAAAATTCAAATTTTTTGGACTTTTTTCCATTCAAAAATCCTAGAAAAACCGATTTTTTCTGGATTTTGATAAAAATCCTCAATTTTCAGCATTACCATCTCTGAAACTTTATCAATAATCTCATGAATCGCATCATTCTCTGTAACAATCGTCTCTCTTATTTCCCTTCGCTCGTCCTCAAAATCCAGAGTTTTTTGGCGAAAATCTCGAATCAGCCTCGAAATATCTGTGAAATTACACTGAACCAGCGCCGTTCTCAGATTCCCAATCGGGTCATCTGACGAGAAAACGCTCAACGTCTTCTGATTCCTCGCGGAATCAAGAATCCACGTGGCGATTGCGCTAGTCGCCGTATCATAGATAGTCTCGGTGATTTTCGACACTTTCTCGTCGAAACGCGTCACATCGTCTTGGAAATTCTTGACGTATCTAGAAGAATTCTAATATTTAGAAGCCAAATTCAAAAATCTTTACCTTCCCTGTTCCTTATCACTGTGAAACTCAAAATCTTCTGGAAATTCCAGTGTTTCTATAGTTTTTCTCTCTAGTTTCAGTGCTTTTTGTCCACCGCGATGGAATTTGATGCCGGGAGTCATCTTGAAAAGCGGTATTAGTTTAGAATTTGGGTGAAAAATCAAAAAATTTCAATTTCCAAAAAGCGAATTTCAAAAAGCGCGCGCAAATTCGTCATCATAGTCCAATAGAGCGCACTTTCTTGGTAACTTTTTTTTCAGAGATCCCGCAAATTCAGGAGAAAAAATTTCCGGGGAAAAAACTCCGGAGACCGATACNTCTCCTTCTTATCCCTGGCCTCCATTGCCTTGTGAGCTCTCTCATAGATATCTTCTGCCTTCGCACAGAAGGTTTTGACATCGAACTTCTCGAATCCCTGCTTCTTGCGAATCCGATTCGTTCCCATGCGCCAGGTGTAGAATTTGTGCTGCAGTCGCTGCTTGACCTCGTCGAATTTGTT